AGATGTTGGAACAATATGTGAAGGATATACAGAGCTGGCCAGGTCCCACTAGTTGTAAGGAAATGTCGTCATTTCTCGGGTTCACAGGTTATTACAGGGGATTTATTCCAAAGTATTCGGCTTTGACCAACAGGATGAATAGTCTGAAGAAGGCAGAGAAATTTGAATGGACCGAAGACATGGAGAAGGATTTCCTGGAGTTGAAAGCAGAGTTTTCGGCAGGGCGGATACAAGCTTATCCAGATTTCGATTCTGATGAACCTTTTATTCTTACTACGGACTGGTCGTCTTTAAACATTGCAGGGGTTTTGTCACAGAAACAAGAGGGAGTGGAACGTTTTCTGGGCTGTTGGGGGCGTAAATGCAACCGTTACGAGAGACATTACTCCAGTGCCAAGGGAGAGTTACTCGCCCTAGTGAAGTGTATGAAGAAGTGGGAACATATTCTGAAGTACCGGCCCCCCTTTTTAGTATACACAGATGCTGCTAGTTTGAAGTATATTGTGAACTTGAAGTCAGAAGAAACGATTTTTCAACAGGTATGCGGAACTGGCTCAGTTTGAGTTTATCGTGATACATAAGAAAGGAAGTGAGAACATTAATGCAGATGCCTTGTCCCGAGCCAAACATTTAGATGAGCCAACGGCAGAAGAAAACGAAGAGTATCAGGAAGCTAACGAAGTGGGAGAAATGAAGATAACTTTTGCATCGGAAATAGAAGGAAACCCTGTGGAGATAGGAAAATCGAGGCGGAAGTTCACCGGATATCCGTCAGCTATTCACAACCTGAGTAAGGAGACAAGATTTGAGATAATAGAAGGAAACGAATTAAGGAAGTTACAGGAAGAGGATGCAGTCTGGAAGGAAGTGATTAAGTGGATAGTGGATGGTAAAATACCTAAGATGCAGGAAGTGAGGGGAGGAATACAGGAAGTGATATCAGTGAGGCAGATATTCAATCCTACTCTGTTTGTAAAGCATAATGGAATCCTATGTTATAACCGTCACACTGATCCAGCCAAGCCATATGATGCCCTACATGTTTGTGTACCAGCAGTGAAGTTAGAGGAAGTGTTCAAGATTTGTCATGAGGGCGTGGCTGGAGGACATAGGGGCGTGGCTGGAACATTAGACAAGTTTCAGAGAACATTCTTTGCAATGTCTGCACGGGAGAAAATCCGTAGACTAGTGGATCGATGTAACACCTGTTTAGCTAAGGAAAGGAGTATTCAAAACAAGAGAGGGCCTCATGTGCCTAGTACAGTGGGAAATGTAGGAGAAAAGGTTTTTATAGATTTAGTTTCTATGTCGGGAACTGTGAGAAAGAACAATAGTGAGTATTCTGAGAAACATGGGCAGGGAGATGCAAAATAAATGGGATCTAGGGGTAAAGGCGGCTTGTCTGGCCTACAACACTATGGTGCATAGTTGTACAGGCCAGACTCCGTTCTTTGCAACCTTTGGAAGGGAAGCCATAGTTCCTATCCATTGGGTTTACCCCATTTCCAAACCAGATGTGGAGAAGGATGTAACTGCCTGGACAGAGACTATACAAGAGAGGTTCCAAACTGCATATGCTGGAATGAGAGAAAAACAACAACAGACAGTACGAAGAAGCGCTCAATACTTCAAGCCAATCCTGAACCAGTTTAACATAGGTCAGTGGGTATGGATCTTTGACCCTAGAATAGTTCCAGCCAGCTGTGACAAACTCAGGTCATATTGGGCTGGGCCCTATAAGATAATCGGGTTAATGGCCCCAGCACTGGCTGAGGTGATTGCTGTGTACGAGCAAGGGAAACCAAGAATCGTTAGCATAGACATTCTCAAAGAGTTTCGCGGGGAGAACAATGTGCATTGTTTCCCCAGTGCAGGGATCAAGAGGGGGCAATCAGAGTGCGTGGATAGTAGAGTCAACGGTAAATGGCGGAGGAGAGAAGGGATAAAACGGGAATTACGTAATCTCACCCCAGTGAATTACGAGGAATATGATCCCAGCTGGGACCTGGAAGACCAATCAAAGAAATGTAAAATGGCGGTAAATTGTTTATTGGACGGCTGCAGATGTAGAAGAGAGGCCGCCAGTAGCGAGCCAATGAGAAGGGAGAAAGGAGATGACGTCAGTGCAGCAGAGTACAGCCGGAATCCGACGCCGTCAGTACTCGTGATAACAGGCGCGGCGGGGACCCAGGACAAGGCCGTGGCAGTACCACCGGTAACAGCACCTGGCTGCAGCAACCATCCGAGCCGGTACAACGATACTTCGGCAGATCTGAGCGCCGATACAACCAGATCAAGTTCAAATCTTACACTGGATAATAGTAATCAGTCGGGTAGTAAACCAAGGAGGACTCAGACATCCTGGAGCAAGAAGATTTTCAAGATAATGCTGACGTTGATGCTGTTGATGACCACCGTGATGAAGGTAGAAGGGGTTGAAGAATGGCGAGAATCCCCCTTCCGTGTTAGAGCTTACGATTGCAGTACACCGGGTGCGATCAACAAACTACACCTACCAGAAAATTGCTTTATACCAGAGGATAAATTACCTGAGAAGTTGACCGTACCTAAGCCAGCCTGGATCCTCGGGGAGGAGTACGTACATGAAATTTCCGGTGTGGTTTGCTCTGCTACAATATCCCGTTTTCGGGGATACTGTGGAGCTTACTCACACTGGAAGTTCATGGACGTGCCCGAGGTGGAGGCCGACGAGCCTGTGACCTTAGAACAGTGCAAGTCGGCCTCCTCTAAGGGGTTTTATAACTCTCCTGACGGTAAGAAGGTGAAGATCGCACCGGGAGAAACCATCCTCTATCAATACATTGAGGATGGGAGTATCACGGTGCATCCAACCAATACGTACTGTCAGGGGGTGTCACTACCCCTGCATAGGGGCACTGTTGCAGATCAGACCTTGATATTGACCCAGATCCGTTTTTCCATGATCCGGGAAGTTTACCTCCGGACAAGAGGTGGGAAGACAGCTGCAAAATTTTCCCGTGTTTCGCTCCCTCCTAGCTGCTCCAAAGAATGGTGCTTGGATGGGTCTCGGGTTTATCTGTTGGATGACAAAGCTCAAGGTTGTCCGTTCAAGAGAATCCGCTCCCTCAGCCTGAGGGAAGAAGGATCATTTATGATCTCTGAAGACTGGTCTATGTTATTCAACGTCACTAAAAAAGACGTTCTCCTGACGCCTGGCTGTCCACAGATGACTATCTATCACACCTCCCTAGGCACTGTATCCCTCACCTTTGATAAGCGAGCTGCTGGACTCCCTGAGGTTGTGAGTCTGGACGTGAGAAGTGACCAGGACCTCATCCCCACGTTAAAGTTTTTGGAACACAAGAATTCCCGTGCTCTGGTTAGCCTTAATGATAGAGTCGAGCGTGGAGGTTGCTCCACTTGGCTCAACGTGCGGAACGACCATGACTATCTCCACCCCTTGCAGCGTGTTCCTGGCCTGTTTGTTCGACGCCAAGGACAGATTGTTTATGAATATCAGTGTCAACCAGAGTTTTGCAGATTCCTACTCCTTTGAAGATGGAGATCGCCAGTGCTTACAAACCTAGTGAACAGGTGTCCACTCTCTACACCAGGGACGAATTGGTACACTGGGAAGAATACCAACAGCTCCCCACATTCCAACACTCCCAACACCAGCGAATTCTGAACGCTCTCTGCGATGGCGAATCCTGCAGCTATGGAGGACAGAGTGCTATGGCAGGAATGAACCTAGAAGACTTCCAACGACATATTAAAGAGGGTAGCCAGGCTATGTTAGCCTCCATGAATCCCTTTGGATTCATATCAAGGGAAATTGAGCACTTGAAAATGTGCTTGAACACATTACTCTTAATCGAGTACAGTGTACTAACTGTTTCTGTAGTAATAAGTGTCGTACTCTATGGAGCTACTGCTACCCTAGGAGCATTGATAACTAGGCTAACCCTAAATTGGGCCCTATTGAAAAGCCGGAAGTGCCCGAGAGTTGAAAGCGTCCAGCTTGAGCGATTGGTTCCTAATATATAATTATACCGTTTTCGATTGATTTGTAATAAATGATAAACGGGTATAAATCCCCCCCCCCTGATTTGTAACATATAATCTGTATTAATGCAATCTATGTTATCTATGTTCTTAATGCTATCTACCTTATCTATGATTATTATTAATTCTTAACGATTTGTAAGTTGACCAGATCGGGCTAGCCCGGTCAGTTCATTCACCTGTATATAGAAATAAATCAGTTGAGTACTACTCGTTGTTTTACACAGTTGTGCTTTGAGCCTTGAGTTTTGGCTAGAGAGATAGAGAGTCAGTTAGACTCGTATTAGAGTTAGAGTAAAGTTATCACCATCTAGATTTCTTACATAATGATGTACAATGTACATAAAAAAAGGTAGAATTTGTTCTTAAAATGGTGTGATGTGATTTTTACCCCTGATTGTTAATTATGAAAATGGTGTTGAGAAAGAATTCTGAAATACTAATTTACACAAAATTAGTTAAACTATTTAAGTTGATAGTTACTTGCAGGATGACACTTCTAAGAATAATAAACAAATTTAATTTGCTTAATATATCCTCAATCTGTTGGTTCCTTATAAACAATTATATGAACCCTAACTTTTTCTCTGTGATATCGAAGTTTTCTAAAGTATTTCGAGTTTTCGAACATTTTGTCCGACTTTTAGAACAGAATTTAACAATGTTTGAGATATCTCTTACATCAATTTATTTTCGAATAAAATGTTCAAAATTTCAAAAGGTAGAATTCGAGCTTTAGGGTTGTCTTTTACAATGTATATTTTTTATTATTTATTAATTAAAAGATTATCATTTTATGCAATATTTGAACAAAACCTTTGGAAATTGTTTATTAAAAAAGTTCTAGGTCGTCATTAAAGCCTCGTTCTTTGTGCGTAACCCTGTGCAAAAGAATTCCGAAAAAGACTAATTGAGCTGAACTATATATATAATTTTAAAGTTTGCCATCTGTTAAGTACTAATTATCTGCAATTATATATATATGTATGAATGAGAAGCCGGCCCAGGCTTGAGGATAGTTCAACAGTTTATATCAATACCTTCACATTCAAAGATATGAAGTAAGTATTTTTATTTTTTAAAATTGGAATTTAAGTTTATGTTAAATTAATCTCACTATAGAATGATTCATTGTTATTAATTCAAATAACCAAGACCTTTCACTCAGAGTGAAATTATAATTCTACGTTTCTATCTCACAACAAAAATATGGGACCATAGCGGCTAGTTTTTTTACCTTTAAATGCGCTGGTTTAGAATTACAGGGGAATTTAGTGACGACTTTTATATCGTCTTCGATCCACGTGGTATTTTTTCAAAAACACAATAATTGCAGTATTCCAGTTTACACATCAATATTGAAAACGCCTGGTCGTGAGATTTTTAAAATGAGGTCTACCATATTTGTTTTGTATCTTTAAAATTAACGGACATACTGCAAAATTTGTAATAAATTTCAAATTATTTAAAAAATCAAAATTGTCTTAATATCTAATATATTCCTTAATTTATAAAATACGAGAAAGGTAGACCACTTTATTAAAAGCTCGTTCGACGACAAGCCTCATTTGTATACCTTCTTTGCAATGCATTAATTATCAGAAATCAAGGACGACGTACAAATTTACAAGTCGTCTCTCAATTCCAATGTTTATTGGGACACCCTGTTCATACACTCATTGATATCATTTTGATCTCGAAATTAGCAATTCATTGTTTCTTAGTAGAGTATTAGAGAAACCCCATATTAAAGGAACTTTTAGCGTAATTTTAAGAGCATGTCTGATTCACAGCGGAACTAGTGTCCGAAGTATGAATTGATTTTGTTTATGAAAACTATTTGTGGTTTCTCTGCAAAAGTAACAAACGAAGTTTACACTTATTAAGCCACAAATCAGACATGCCTCTCTTTAAATGGAGGATTACTTAAAATTACAACTATAATCCCTTTAAGCTTAGCACTAACACACAAGCTCTGCAATTTGAGTTTCTTTCTTAAATAATGCTTAATTATGGATATTGTCTTACTGGAAAACCAGCGCATCCCATTAAACATGGATAATTAAGATATTGATGCAATAAAAAAAAATCTTTGTTTTTTCTCAATCGAAAGCTTTTTAGATGAAAAAGTCTTTGCAATCCGACTAACATTAAAGAATGCTAATTCCTAGCTCTCTATTGCTCTAAATAATAAATTTTCTTTAAGGACGACGACATTTATAGAAACCTTGCATTTCAAACTTTTTGCATAATTAACAAAATATTTCATTTGTCTATTTTGGGATAAAAGGTTTCTATTTTTTTCCAACTTGGGTTTTCATCTACAAAATTACGAAGCGTAAACTTTGGAAATCCATTATTTAGAAATACGCGTTGTTTGAAGACGACATTTATTTGCCAAAACAAATTTATTTTTAACCCCAAATACAGTTATTTTCATCTTAGTATCTGTCGATCCCCTTAAATGTTTAAATTTGAAAAATTCCCCATGGCTTAGCAATAGGAAGGTTTCTTTTATATGCTTTAAATGAATAAAGGCAAAGATCTTAAAATTACCGGCGGTTTTTTTTGTAGCATGAGGGCAATCTTTTCGGCAAAACTTAAATAAGAGAAGAAATGTTTACGATGCGCATCAAAATAAAATTTATCTGATATTGTCAATGTTTTCTTAATTTACAACAATTTATCAGTAACGAACTACTCTCGATCACAAGTATTTAAAAAACTAACATTCTGTTCATAATCTTCAACGAAATTTTTCTAATTTCTGAATGTCAAATTTACAAAAAAATGTCGGATATAAACATTTCATAGATAGAACATTTCATAGATAGGACATTTCATGATAGGACATTTCATAGATAGGACATTTCATAGATAGGACTTTTCATAGATAGGACATTTTATACATGGAACAGTTCATAGAAAACATTTCATAAATAGGACATTTCATGATAGGACTTTTCATAGATAGGACATTTTATACATGGAACAGTTCATAGAAAACATTTCATAAGATAGGACTTTTCATAGATAGGACATTTTATACATGGAACAGTTCATAGAAAACATTTCATAAATAGGACATTTCATGATAGGACATTTCATAGATAGGACATTTCATAGATAGGACATTTCATAGATAGGACATTTTATACATGGGACATTTCATAGAAAACATTTCATAGATAGGACATTTCATTAACCAGGAATTATCGTAGATATGATATTTAATATTTTTTTGAGACATCTACAGTGCAAAACAATATCTATTAATATGCATTTTATCTCACATATATTTATCTCAAACTTATCACATTTTATGTTTTTTAACATGTTAATTTTTATATATTCTTTATGTTTTCAGGATAATCAGCTTTTCTTCATTAAGCCTTCTTCTATTTCTTGTCAGCCTAACTGTTGGGAGTACCATCACGGACAGGAAAGATGAAAACGGACCAGAAATCGCAGATACAGAAAGCGTAGATGAAAGCGGAGATTATGAAGATGAAAGTGAGGATTATGAAGATGAAAGCGGGGATTATGAAGATGGAAGCGGGGATTATGAAGATGGAAGTGGAGTTTATGATGATGGAAATGGAGATGACGATGATGATGAAAGTGAAGAATATTATGAGAATGAAGACTATTATCAAGATGATGAATATGAGTATGAGGAGAAAAAATAAGAAGAATTAAGATGATAATGAAAAAGTATCTTTACAGTTCGAAAATCGTTTTCATAAAATTAATATGTTAACGTTCGACTAATCAACAATTATCAATTTTAAACATTTCTTTCACAATTTAGTTTGTTTTCATAAATAATTGGAATAATTAAGTGAAATAAATATGAAAATTAAATAATTAAAAATCAAATTACCGTCAAAAACTTAGTTTTGCGTAAGGCTCGCCACACATCGAATTAAGTCAATAATTTAATATCCAGAAACTTTTAAATGAAGGGGTTAAGTTCACTCCCGAGGATTTTCCTAAAGATGCAATTAAAGAAAAATCTATATATATAAAATTGTAATCTCGTTTGGGTGTCTGTTTGTTTGTTTGTCCGATCATAACTTGGGAACCCCTGGACCGATTTGCCTCAAATTTTGGTCGGGGAACTCGGGAGACCCACGGAAATGTTCTTGGCTTGGTTTTGAGATTCTAAGTTAAGTAAGTCGACTTTTCATAGCGAAAATTCAGTTTCCCGGTAATATCGTTCAGTTGCGGGTAACTGGCGGGAGTAACTTTTAGTAACCTGGGCAGTGCTGGGTTCCCAAGCTAGTTCAAAGTAAAGGGGTGGTTTTATCGGACTAACAGGGGAGATGGAGGGGGGGGGGGGGGTTTAAAAATAATAATCGTTTGGACTTCTGGAAACTTTTGAATTGATGAAACCATTTTAATCATTTTAAATTATACATTTTTAAGCATTATTTGGCTATTACGTTAGAACTATGCAAAACAATTATTTGGCGGATTATTAAGAACATATAATTGTGCAAATTTAAAGAAATGTGTGTGGGGGGAAATACAATTTTGTCTCAAAATGTTTTTTTTTAATCTTTAATTCATTTTGTCTTTCGCTTTCTACAACCTTTGGGCAAATAGTGGTAAAGGTAAACAATTTGTTTGGCAACAGACCATGCACTTCTGATGGAGTTAAGTTTAAACATATTTTGTTTTGTTTTCAGGCATAAATGTTTTTCTAATCCAAGATTTAATCTGTTTTTCATCTTACATGCCCAGGCCTGTATAATCAGTCATGGTTTTTAATCATATTGCCTCTTCTTTACAAAGTTTCTCATTATACCCTTTTTATTTATTTCAATAGACTAGAGTCTCCCTCCCCCCCCCCCCCCCCCCCCCGACTACTTCTGAACACATTACCCACTATATATACCCCCCTCGTCTTTGTCAGGATGAGTGGCCTATAATGCTTATGAGCTCTGGAATTTCTGAAAATAAATTCGAAATATTTTAAGTAAAAAATAACATAACGGACTATTACAGGTTTAAGCCAACTCAATAGAAGTATTCAAAATAAGTTATTACTTCAAAATTCCAGGGCCCATACTTTTCTTGTTTCTCCCCCCTCCTTGTCTAGAGCCGGAGCCAAAGCAGAGCAAGCAGAGCAGAGCGGAGTACGTTTGTTACTTTGCAAGGTGCAGGGAGAGCAGGGACGGAGCTGAAGTGAAACTTTCAAGGTTTAGAAAGTCTTACATCAAGAGTTCAGAGTTCACAGAGTTTTAAATCAAGAGTTCTGAGTTTTGCATCAAGAATTCAGAGGTTCGCAGAGTTTTACATCAAGAGTTCAGAGGTTCAAAGAGTTTTAAATCAAGAGGTCAGAAATTTACAGAGTTTTACATCAAAAGTTCAGAGGTTCACATGGTTTTACATCAAAAGTTCAGAGGTTCACATAGTTTTACATCAAGAGTTCAGTTATTTTCATAGTTTATATCAAGAGGTCAGAGGTCATACTCACAAATAAGGTATATTTGATAATAATAAAACAAGTTAAATTTATGTATTTTATTTAGTTTGTGATGTAAATATTGGCGTATACGTTATTTTTTAGAACTTCTATTTGAACAGTAGATTTTGTATAACGTTGTACAATTTGTACAAGGGAAAAAATATATAATAGACATCTGCCAAAAAATAAACTATTTTAGAGGAAAATCCTGCCGGAACAGGTTTCATTGTTTTGATTGTAAACTTCAAGAATATATAATATGTTATATCGTGACGAATAAATCAGGATAATAGGAGTGGGGGACGGAGGGGACCCCACCCCCCTCCACGATCGTTCAGATATGTTGGTCAAACAGTGAGTCTTGCCTTCCAAACCCGTGTTACATCCATTAAATTTAGTATTTTTTTGTTTTTTTTTCAATCCTTTGTTTTTGTTGCGTTATACGTTAATTTCATTACGCTGTGTTTGATGAATTTTGAATGAGTTTTGCAAATATTTGCAGCCATTTAACATATACTAGGCTTTCAGGACACTTCGTGCCATCTTCTATTACACTCATTATTTTGCTCTATTTGTGAACATTTTATCTTTTATCTATATCTTTATATTTCTATGAATTTAGAGTAGAAATATCTGTTTGTTTGTTGTAATATGTATGTCTGATCAGATCTTGACCAATTTGTCTCAAATTGATTGGGAACTCGTAGAAACACGGGAATTTTTTTAGCTTGGCTTAAAAGATTTAAGTTGAAAAGGTCGACTTTTCAAAGAAAAACTTTGTTTCCAGACAAAGCTGGGTTTCTGCGCATTATAAAACAATAACAAAAAAGTTCGCGGATTTGATCATATTTTTTCGTGGATTCTCAAAATTTTATGACAATCAAACGTTTTTGGTGGCAAATTTTGAAATTCTGGATGTCCATAAACTTTCCTTGGGGTCATGTGAGGTCCCACAAAAATTCGGGCCCAATCGGTTCAGCTGTTTTTACGTTTATTGGTTACAAACAAACAGACAGCCAAGTATTGATATATTTTAATGCGCTTATTGTTAGAATTCGTAACCTCCATCTGCAATTATTTAATTTTTTCTCCAATTTCCTTTTTTTATTAAATCATAACACCCTGTGGCCTCCGGGTAACCTTGCTGGGGGTCATTCCAGGCAAATCTTTCAGAGGAAACTTATTCAACTTTCAATTGAAAGTTTTAAAAGCAAATATCTAAATATATTGATGATATGAAATATGTAATCATGATTCATAAAATAATTTTAAAGTGATAATTAAATTCTTAGTTTTTAATCTTGATATACATATAATTCTTAATTTGATTTTTTTCAATATTTAACAACTTTCATACAATATTCACAATTGATAGGGGTGGGGGAGATCAGCTACTAGTATACGCTCACGGTGATCTAAAGGTTGCAAGGCTATTAAAAATCAGTTAGTTCCGTAAGATTAAAGGCGAAAGTGTTGAAAATAATTCGTTTTTCTATTTGTTTAAAACAAACTAAACATGGTTTTTTAAAATATTTTCTAGAGAATATAAGAAATACATACCATTGTGAAATGTATTAAATCAAAACTAGATAACATTGTTTTACACAACTTATTTGGTCCCCATTTTAAATTAGTCGAGTGGAATTTTAAAAGAATTCACTATTTTCATTCGTAAATAAATTCAAACTGTCGACTGAAAATCCGTGTTTTATTAATACAGTTAAACTCGTGTTTTTTTACAGATTGATCATTTAGAAAAATACAGAAGGCTCACAAAAAATTCAGATATTGCTAGTTTCTTTTTTCTTCTTTGCGTATATTTTGTGTTATTCAATAAGGTATATGACGCTCTATACCTCTACGATACGGGACAATTTAACTCAATATAATGATTGCATAACGCGGTCTTATAGTTTACAAATATCGATTAATGAAATATGATCCTTATAGATTATATTTCGCCGCCATTTGTATTTTGATAATTCAATATCAAAGTTAAAAATAATACGCTTCGCTCCCATCTTCTGGTAAATTTTGAGATTAAATGTTGCTGTTTTTTCTTTGTAATTGCAAAACTCGAAATTTTGCGAATTTTTCTGTGAAAATTGTTGAATTTCTACTGAAACCTTCAATCGTTTTAACATTTATTGGATTTAATCAAAGAGACAAAGACTTAATCAGAATAGCCAAGCCTCAACACGGAAAGTGACTTTGGGTCCGTTTCCTTTTTTTTTCAAGAATAATCGGAAATCGCTCAAAAACTGAAAAGTGTTAAGGTATTTCCGAATATTTTTGATCCATTTCCGATATACTTACATTTGATTCGATTTCCGTTATTTTTATAAGTTTCCGCAATTTTTTGGGTCCGTTCCCTGTTTTCAAAAAAACGTTTTAAATTCTCAGTTTGTTGATGGGTTTTCTCTTTTTTTGATCCGTTTCCTCATTTTTTAGGTCCGTTTCCGGTTTTCAGAAAAAGTTTTAAATTCTCAAATAAAAACAAAGTAAAGGAAATGACAATCAATTCATTTCTTTCTGCATCAAGTTTGTTACGTTAATGGCTTGCTGCTGAACCTATTTGAAGCTCTTTGAAAATAAACCATTTAAAATTTGTGTAAATTAACTTCAGATGCTTTCTCAACTGATTTAATAAAATACTCTCTAAAAGTTTCAGAGCTAGGTGTGACGAGGGAGGGAAACCCTGGACGCCATGAGCATCCATAATGCAGACGGCCCAAAAAATGAGGAAAAGGATCTAAAAAAAGAGGAAACCAATCAACAAACTGAGATTTTAAAACTTTTTTGAGAAATCCTTCAAAAATATTGGGAAATAAACCGGAATCGAGAAATCGAGGAAACGGATCAAAAAAGTGGGAAACTCCTCTAAAATTTAGATTTAAGGAATTTCCGAAAATTTTTGAGAAAACAGGAAACGCCTCGAAAAAAAACATTTTGGGGAGGTTTCCGTTTTTTGGGGTCCGTTTCCATGTTGAGGCGTTTCCGTGTTGAGGCGTTTCCATAGCACCATTATATCAAAAGATTAATAGTTCAAAAAAATCATACAAAACAGAAAATTTATAATAGTTTATCATAAGAACAGATAAGTACATGTTAAAACTGTGCAATACTTAATAATAAAATAGCATCCTAATATATGTTATAATAAGTCACATGCATTGCGTTCAATTTCAACCCTAAATGAAAATAAAATTCCATTATGTAAAAAATTACTAGCTTTGCTGCAACATCGCCACAGTGGACTAGGGTCATCTTAAAATCAAACCGGACCGACCCGTTGTACACCCTTATAATGGCGCGGCCCCTATTCTCTGTCAGCCCGGTTTCAACTTTGATAGTGCGGTCAGACTTTTTACAGTACCTGACCTATCATAGGCCTATTTTACCGTACCTGACCTATCATCATAGACCTATTTTACAGTACTTGACCTATCATAGACCTATTTTACAGTACCTGACCTATCATAGACCTATTTTACCTACCCCACTAGCTTAATTCAGTTCAATGTTCAATATTATATTGAAATGATTTAATAACAAATTCTCAGTGTTGTGAATGTGATACCAACATTTCTGAAAAAGGATTATTAAATGGCATGAGGATTCTTGTTTTGGTGAAAACTTCTTGAATTTCCGGTTTCTGACGTGTGTTTATCCTTTATTATCAAACAACATCTTAAGAAATTAATATTGGATAAATTCAGGATATTTACAATCTTGAGAGAACACGCGAGAAGATAGGATAGTGTGAACGATTTAGCTTACAAAGGAACTGAGTATTTGCCACAAACTCAAATTTTCTGATTCATATATTTTTGCATCCTGATGGTGTAAACTTTTGACGTTTCAAATAAGACTAATTGATATAACAGAATTCATTTGTTTCAAATATCAAAGCTCTATGGCATCTTGTTGTAAAAACTAAGAATTTAAAAAAACAGTGTTGCAAAACTGAGTTATGTTGTTAATAAACTGAAAAGTTCTTTTACTTACATCTTTGCGACCTGACAGTTTAAAGTATAAAAGTTTTACATCATCAGGTTGTCAAGATATATGGATGAGAATATTAGAGTTTGAGTGATCAGTTCTTTTAGCACATAGATCTCTATCAGGTGGAAAAATGAAATTAACATTTAAAATATATTTTTTTAGGGATAACGATACAGAGAAGTGTGATCTAACCTTGTTCTGGGTCCTGGGAATTGACCTAACAACCTCCAGGAAATGACCTAACCTTGTCCTGGGTCCTGGGAATTGACCTAACAACCTCCAGGAAATATAAAAACAAGTTGTGTGAAGGAAGAATGGATCGAAGAAATCTATTCTCTGATCTATCCGAAGGTGGAAGTAGCAGGTACATTTTACATTTTACATTCATTTAAAGAGGGAATGTCTGAAACTTTAATCTAATCAATGGTGGAAGAAAACGTCATTTTTCGGACTCAATAAGTGCTTAGCTCGATCTACACTGTTTCTTACAAGCAAGAAATATGCATGTCAATGTTGCAGAGAGACCACAAATAAAAAGAAACAGTTAAAGAAAAAGAAAAAAATATATATATATTATACTTGATCAGACAAATTCCTTTAAAATTAAACTTTTGGTATATCACACTTGCAAGGGCGTATACAGGGGGGGGGGAGGGGGAAGTTCCCCCACACATAGAACTCAGAGCTATCACACTTTTCAATTCTGAAACTGAAGAGTAAAGAGTATTAAAAATATTAGTTTGCTGTTTTTTTCTGCTAGTTTTGTTTGAGTGGGAGATGAAGTAGTACTTGTAAGGTAATTAGACTGTATGTGAACCTTTAAAGTATCTAAGAAGCCAACTGTTTTGAATTTACGTTTCAAATTTTGCCCCCCCCCCTAGGAGCTCTTAGGGGGCCCCCTAGATTTATTTCTGTATACACCCTTGCACACTTGACTTTAGATTAATTAGGTCACCGAATATTCTGCATAGATAAAGTTTTTAAAAACAATATTTTATATCATAAATCAACCTTGTTCTTTCTTCTACTTCTACTTAATTTGATAAGTTTCCTACAATGATTTCATCTTGTTTATTTTCTTACTTCATTTAATCCTTATAAGACTTTATACCAGGATTTTGCCAAATACGCCTTTAAAATAAAAGTTAAAAGCTTTTAAGTATGAAGTCGATACGGTCTTGAAATTTGATTAATAATTTTGAAGCTTTCTGGGTATAATTGTTCTATTTATTTTTAACTAACCAACATATTTGGTTGGTATTTGTACTATGTTATATATGTTGTATATCTTGTATTGATATTAGATAATATATTGTGTGCACACTTTTCTAAATATAGATTAACCTAAAGCATATAGAAACATTATATTTGTTGCAATTAAAATAAAGTAAAAATAACAAAAATATCAAATTTAAATCTGCAAAATAATATCTTTGTCATATTATAGTAAGGATTTATAAAAATTAATACAAAACAACCAGTGATTTACTTTGCACATTATTCACTGAAATAGTTTTACAAAACGAAATAGAATGTTCTAGTTTATCTACTTGTAAAATTTGATGATTAAACCTATTCTTTTGTTCTGATAACAACTTGTTGGCAAAAGGACTATAAAGATTTTATCTAGTTAAAAAAAATAATACCAGTTCAAAAAGATATTTTTAATTCAATTTGACAATCCCATTGATCTCATTGGTTCTGTCCTCCTTCTGTTATATTGTTCTAGGTGTTTGGTATCAGTAGCTCGAGGATGGGTTTACGTGTACGGTGTGGTGCTGTCCTCCTACTGTTATATTGTTCTAGGAGTTTGGTATCAGTAGCTCGAGGATGGGTTTACGTGTACGGTGTGGTGCTGTCCTCCTACTGTTATATTGTTCTAGGAGTTTGGTATCAGTAGCTAGAGGATGGGTGTACGTGTACGGTGTGGTACTGTCCGCCAACTGTTATATTGTTCTAGGAGTTTGGTATCAGTAGCTCGAGGATGGCTTTACGTGTACGGTGTGGTACTGTCCTCCTACTGTTATATTGTTCTAGGAGTTTGATATCAGTAGCTCGAGGATGGGTGTACGTGTACGGTGTCGTGCTCTCCTCCTACTGTTATATTGTTCTAGGAGTTTGGTATCAGTAGCTCGAGGATGGGTGTACGTGTACGGTGTGGTGCTCTCCTCCTACTGTTATATTGTTCTCTTCATAATGTCCTTCTTCTTCCTTCTTAGCGGAGTTCTCTTTACAGCAATATCATACAGGCCTCAGCAGGTTAAAATTATTTTTTAAAACCAATTTTATTTAATGAATTTGAGCTATGGTGCTTAAGTACCAACCTTTACGCGCGGCGCAGTTCAAATGGAACCAGCGCTTGATTTATAGTTAAAATTAAGAAAGGATTTGAATTAGGGTTACAAAGTTTACCCCTTCCAAACATTTAGTCTCCGACATGCAGAAGTCAAATATCAAAAGTCCGGAATTATCTAACCAACATTTTTGCCATCTGCAGAACATAAAGTCGGTTTAATTGTCTCCTGGGACAAATTTCAAATGGAAACAAACAAGTTATAATGAGACTAAAGACCTAATTTTAAGTGACCCACCATTTAATGAGTTACATGTCTGTTTTACAACTCGATGAGCAGGAGATTATAATTTTTCTATTTAAAAAGAGTTATATATTGTTAAATCAGTCACTCTAAAGTATAAATGAGAAAAGTCTAGAGACTAGAGAGGTATAGAGAAACCAAGCTTGAAAATAAGCCAGACAAATAAAGATACAGGGTGTCCCACGAAACATGACAGTTGGTGAAAAGTTTTGAACGTCTCTTTACAAATGCTGTATTAGATATTGAAGACTTTTTACAGTTAATTTATTTGCCTAATTTTACCCAACCCATGCCTTATTTAACCTATACTTCAGACTAAATCTATATTTTAAGACCAAATTAGATTTCAACATCTTATAAGCCTATGACAAAGAAATTTTTCATGGCTTTAAAATGACTTTAAAAGGAATTTGCACATTTTCACTTTTAATAGTTTAAAAAAAATCGTACATATTATTTTGTTAAGGTCGGAGAACAACTTGGAGAATGGACGTTTCGGTTTGCTCAGTCTCGGAATACAAGAATAGCAGGGCCTGCCTTTATTTTCCTCGGCTTCCTCATGTGTATCTCTAGTATAGTTCTCTGTATATTCTCCAGACGTGCGAACTCAGCCAGAGAGTTCACTGTGTACACTCATCATCCGAAAATACCAAACCAAATGGACACAGAGAAGTTTGAGTACACTAGACAAAGACGACCCGATGTCTCCACATTCTCTGTGGTTCAATCACAAGAAAAATCATACTTCACTGATGGGTAGGAAAAATAAAATCTAAAAAGGTTTTCTGATAAAATAGACAAATAACATTAGACTGTAGGAAAAAAATTAAAACTTTGCTTGAGGATACCTTTCTTTGATTTGCTAATGGATGATTGGCATTTAATAATTTTTTAACAAGAAAAAAAGTTATGTTTTTTGAAAAATGTTTGAATTGACATTTACACTCATTTTTTAATGTCACACAGTAGATCTCATATATAAGGGTACATAGCAAGAGCGCATGAAATGTCGTCTTGAAATTTATTTAGTCGAATTTATGGCAGCTGTTATGCTTCATCATTGTTCTGCACACAAAGAAGCTGATCAGATGTTTGCAGCTTCAAAGGGTTGAGTACAATTTATGAAAATATTGTCGAGAGTAATAATTATTTTGATAATTCTTCAGAAACTACTTTTTACTTTTATTTCAAATTAAATTAATAGCTCTGAAATATGCAGGACATCATTTGATATATTAAACTCCACGCGGCATTAATCTTAAATAGGTTAAGAATAAAACATTATAAAAACTCCTGCTATGTATCCATATATTTGGTATTCACTGTATTATCCAGTGAGACAGAGTGAGAGCAGAAAACTCTGGAACAGGAAGACGACTTTTGCACTCAAGTTATTACTTTAAATAGCTTCCAATGAACATGAGACACAGTATTTGTGCAGTATATTCAGACCCATTTAATTTTATGACTGAATCAATAAGTTGCTGATAAAACTATTAGCTTTGTGACAACATCAAATACACTTAAGGTATTGCTATAATGTCGCCTTCCTTTTCCACAGTTTTCTGGTTCTCACTGTCCTATAATTTTGTTTTTAGGTATTCAGATATGAAAAGTTTGATAGTTTCTGATATTGCTTGTTTCCCAGAACCCACTACTCCTTATCAGATCAGAGCTAGTCACTTGTAATTTTTTTCTAACCTATAACTTTAGTAAACAATTTAATTTAATGCAAGATCTAAGCCTATATTGTACTGCAATTCGCGTACACAGAATGAGGGTACAATGTACTTTTAGGAACTTTTTGGTTTGTACACATGTATGTGCCCCTGGCAAGTCTAGTTTAATCAAAGAGAATATATTAATATAGAGTGGAATTAAGTCGAAAAAAGTGTAAAACTGTGTAAATGTTCCCATACTGCAGGTCTACTTCACATATTTGTGCTATATAACCTTCCGGGCCGGCCCCTGGAGCATCTTTTTGAACAAAAAATGTTCTTGAAAATTTTATTTAGTTTTCTCTAAATAAACACTTTGACATCTTTAGCAATAACAATGAAAAGAATAAATTGTATTGGATATGTCCAGGGATCATACTGTATTATTGTGATGTACTGTGTAAATTTTGTGAACATTTATATAAATTTTTGTATTTTGAACTACTTTTCAGGCTTAAAGAACTGAACAAATTCATATCAAGAGATAGTCTTATTTCCCTTCTATTATAATCTCTGTTCTGTGAGTGAAATGCATGTATTGTATATATATATATTTGCGCATTGTGTTTACTTTTTTACTGTACTGCTGAGGTATACCAAAGCCAAAAAGAATAGAATATATATTAGAGGGGAATTTACTAGAAAAAAAGTGTAAAACGGCCATTTTGTTGTACTGTTTCCATACTGCAGGTGTACTTCACATATTTATGCTATATAACCTTTTGGGCCCTGGAATATCATTTTATAATCTCAAATTAATATGAACCAAATTATGAAATAGGCTGGTTTCATAATTGACCAATGATCATTTTACATAGACTCTATGTATTTCACTTTACAAACGATGATTTTCCGTTATAATTATAAATCAAATGATGTTTTTTATTCACCTAATTCATTATAATGTTTATTTAACAGCTTTAAAAAATTCGAAATTGAATTGAATAGTCTAGGGAACATACTGTATCAATGTTCTCTACTGCATATAATTTGTGAACATTTACATGATTCGTACACTTTGAACTCCCTTTCAGGCTGAAAGGGACTGAAAAAATTCATACCGAGAGACTTTTTTAATTCCCCTCTAATATATATTCTATTCTCTATGACCAAAGCTAATCAAATCATTTTCCGTACCCTTTTTTTACTTTATTCAGAAATGTCTCCAAGGTTTTGTAATTTCTAATCTCAATATAAATGTACCTTAGTCAGAGACATGCCTCAATTACAGTTTTTCCTTCTTTTTACTTATTAAAATACTTCATAAATTCTCAAAATGAATCAATGTTCATTTTTAAGTTTTATACTCAACCTCATACTAAAGATACATCAGTTTTTGTTCTTAATACTCAAGATGCAAATAATTTGTTTTACTTTTTATCAATTAAAACTAAATCGGTGAAAATTCAGATGCTGAAAACTTTAGAATGGGATATCCTTAATCCCAATCGGTTAATTAATCTGGAGATTAAGAAAAAGAGTGAAATAAGCATTGATCCCGATATCCACCATTCAAAAGTTCCCAGCTCAGATAAAATTCCTTGCGCTGCATGCTGGGACTGGTCATTGGTCCAATGATAAATTTAAGAAAATTTAGGAAATGTCTATTTTGTAAATAGTCTTTTCAAATTTATCAATCAGCGATTTAAATAGTTTCTTTGTTACCTATTAATTTAGAAAACATAAATTTTGAAAAGAAGTTAGATGAAACCTACACACGATTTTTTTTCTACAAAACTAACTTAGCATGATAGATAAACATGATTATAGTTTTGATCATCAGGGGCGTACGAGGGGGGGGGGCCGCGCCCCCCCGCCCCCCTCTACGCGTGCCCCCCCTGAGAGGCTGAGGGGGGCACCCATGGGGAGGCTCTTTTAATATTACATCTGCTTGCATTTCCCTTTCTCAGGTCAGGCTCGTCAGGCACAGTGGTGTACCTAGGGGGGGGCAGTAGTCCTCTTGCCCCCCCCTGGGAGTTCCAAAATTAAAAATTAAAAGGAAACTACGTTTAGAAAGTAACACCTGACTGGGGCAAAAAAAATTTAAAAAAGGTATGAATATTTTTTCAAAAAAGGGGTTTTGAAGGGGGGGGCACAATGTTGCCGAAGGGGGGGGACCAAAATTTTTTTTTGGCGCGCTTACGCGCGCAAATTGTGCCCCCCCCCCTAAACAAAAGCCCTCGTACGCCCCTGTAATGATCATCAAAAATTTAAAATACAAATTATGAAATTAATTAGCAGAAAATTTACACACGAAACTTTTATCCTACAAAAGCAACAAAATCATCTAAACCATGACAATATATCTATGATAACAATTTTCATCATAAAAAACTTAAAATACACAAAATTGCAGAAAATTTACAGACAGTTAACTACAAAAACATCAAACCCCTCCAAACATTACCATATATGTGAATAATGTTAAATGTAAACAAATACAAACTCCAGATAAAACAATGTAACTTCTATGTAAAAATATGTTTTTAAAAATATTAAATAAATTGTTAAATTTATTATTTTCCTTTAATGTAATATTATAATAAAAGTATGTTCACTGAACTTTGATATCTATGTCCTAAAGAGAATAAAGCAAGTATTTAAAGGGACTGTAAAGGGAAAATGAAAGGGGGTATATGCTGAAACCTGAGCATTTCAGGAGTTGATCGAGACCTTGAAGAGTTCTATCTGATGTTCCTGTCTCGAGAAATTGATATAAAACAAAGTTATACCAAAACTCATATATGAAAGATTTGGAAAAAGGTTCTAAGTTCTAAACAGATTATATTCAGCACTCGCCCCACTGGTGTAGCGTTACATCCAGACGCGGGGTAATATTTGGCCCGGGTGCAATACAAAGACGACCTAAGCTGAAACGATATAGTATATAAAACTATCAGTATCAACGGCATTTGTAAACGAAGACATTTAAAATTTTAGTCTGTAAAAGAGTGGAAAACATGCCTAAATAATGTACATAATGAATGTGTGTGCTTCTAATTTTTAATTTTATGGCCTACCAAACAAAAAATTGTAACAATTTCAATAACAATGATAATGTGCATGTTTTGGGTCCGTCAAAGTAAACAATTTTTGGACCCCCCCACGTTCTATCAATTTTGTACGTGAACAGCGCTCGTTAATTTCCTAATATATGATTTTTTTACCCTCCCCCCCCCTTCCCCCTCCTATCAAATTTCATGGATTTCACATGTAACACTCACCCGGACCAAGTATAACGCCCGGGCCTTTTTTAACGTGACACCGGTGTACATTTGAATATCCGAGCTGAGCCAACCTTTGCGGTCCTACTTTGGACTGTACCGCCAATTTACATTTACTAAAGCGGCAGAGGAGGAGTGTGAGCAAATATGCAACCAATCTGAAAACTACGGTATTCCAGACGAGCCTAAAAACCCCAGGTTTGCTCCTTTTATTATTTGAATTTAATATTATTTTAATTTTTTAATATATATAATTGATCACGTGACCAGAACTGCCACCAATGGCAGTCTAGCTCATTGACACATGATACAGACGGAGACACGTGACAATGATATCGCAGTTTTCAGATTGGTTGCATATTTGTTGAATATGATCTGTTTAAAACTTAGAATCTTGTAACGCCTTGGATTTTGATTTTACCACATGTAGAATAAATATGTACATTTTAGAATAGATATGTACATTTTAGAATAGATATGTACGTTTTAGAATAGATTTGTACATTTTAGAATTGATATGTACATTTTAGAATAGATTTGTACATTTTAGAATAGATATTTACATTTTAGAATAGATTTGTACATTTTAGAATAGATATGTACATTTTAGAACACAAAACAAATGTTTTATATGCTTTAGTTTTTAAGAGGTAATTGGAAAATTCTCATAGTTTTTAAAGTTTTTAATCATAAAAAGCAACTTTTCAAACCCCTCCAGTGAAAACGAATTCTCTCCGGTGGTCCCAGTGGAGTCCTAATCTTACTACGTCCTTCCGTGACTCCGAAAAATGTTTTTTACGAAAAGGAGTTGTGCACATTATATTGCACCATGCAAAATTGCTGTTCTTGATGTCAATATTGGATAATTTAAAATCATAACTTGGGTCTGACTGTCGTCTTCCTATTCTAAACTTTAAAGGTTTTAGAAGTTACAAAGTTAGACATTTTTTTAGGCCACATTTTTCAATTCTAATTCTCCAAAATCTGCAAATTGTGGTCCTGGAGGTTGCCGCAAAAAATTGTGATCTGCTCGCGTTCAGGTCAACTGTGTTTATCTTTACAGACAGATCGGTTCAGGTCAGCTGTGTTTATCTTTACAGACAGATCGGTTCAGGTCAGCTGTGTTTATCTTTACAGACAGATCGGTTCAGGTCAGCTGTGTTTATCTTTACAGACAGATCGGTTCAGGTCAGCTGTGTTTATCTTTACAGACAGCGCGGTTCAGGTCAGCTGTGTTTATCTATTCAGACAGATCGGTTCAGGTCAGCTGTGTTTATCTTTACAGACAGATCGGTTCAGGTCAGCTGTGTTTATCTTTACAGACAGATCGGTTCAGGTCAGCTGTTTTTATGTTCACAGACAGACAAACAAACCAAATATGTATCAGGTCAAATTTATGCTAAAGTACTTGTTTGACATTGTAACCTCGTAGATTTTCTAGATTGTATAATAATTGTCTGAAGCGCAGTGCATAAAACATCGTAATATTTGTCGATATTGAAATCGCAAAATATCAAACATGTTGAAAATGAAAATTTAAAACAACTCGTCGTCGACTCTACTTTTTTATGATATCTAGATTTTATTGAGCATGGCGATCATTTGTTAACATTTTTAAAAAGCTTGGAAACTGTGAAAGATCTCTTAACTATCAACTTGACATTCTCAAAATTTGCTCATTACAGAATTTACTATCAAGCCAGTGGCGGATATAAGGGGGGTTATTGGGGTTATTTACCCCTATGATAACAATTTTC